GTTCCGCCCGCCGCCCCTGCAGCCCCGCTCGGCTCCGCATAAAGAAGCCGCCTCTCCCAGCACCAGGCCCGGCGGGGGACGGTCACACCGAGTCCCCGGGGCGGTGCTGGGCACCCCAATGCTCACGTCCCCACCCCAGATCGTGTCCCGGGCCGCCCCTCCAGCCCACCCCATTRCCGGCACCCTCGCCCTGACAGCAAAGCACTCACAGCCCTCCCTGCTCCGCTGTGRCAGCAGCATCGGCATCCTCTTCACTGCTCCATGGAAGTGTCCGATAAACCTCCCCAGATAATCTGGCACATGATCGTGGCAAAGAAATCGGGGAGTGGGGCAGTTACTGGGGATCCTCACAGCAGCAGGAGCCCAAAAACAGCCCAGGAGAGCTGGAGAAGAAGTGTCCCTCTAGATGCAGAGATGTCCAGCGTGTTCCTGGTGCTATACCCTCACTGAGTGGCCTCAGTGTTCCAGAGCAGGACCTGCAGCTGCCCAGGGGACAGTGCCCAGGCTGGAGGGTCCAGGTCACCCCATGGCTGTGGCACTCCCCACCTTGCCAGCCAGAGCTGCTCCTTTGGCTGATGCCCGCTCACTTTTGCTACAGCAACAGGCACACAGCTCCCACTCCTTCTGTCCCAGTAAATRCTTGAATCACACCATGGATTCACCAGCAACTGTCTTTTGTTCTTCAGGGTCTTYGCCTGGGAATGAAGGCGATTTTCCCATCCCAACGCCTCTGCTCTCAGTAATAAATCTCCCACRAAAGAATGGACCTTGGAGGCAGCTGCTCGGGGCTGCTTAGTGACCAGTGCTGGTTGGGAAACGGCCTGGCACTGCTGGACAGTGTGGCACAGAGTGCCAAGGGCTGCCAGCAGCATGGCAGCACCACAGAGGGCTCTCCTGCTCACCGTGGTTCAGCCAAAACTGCGCCCTGCTTCCCACKGAAAGGGAGGCAGCAAAGGGCATGRGGCACAGCCMAACTTTGCACCAAAGATCGACAGAGGGAAAGTGAAAAATTRCTTCAAATTTAGGGCTGGATTCGGTTTAATGAGAGTTAGGGTTTCCCAGCAGACAGCAAAACTGTGTTCTTTGTGCCTTTGGCAGAATGAATCAGCTTTTGTAGGAGYACTAAATACAGTTTTCTGGTAGCATTAGAAATGGGATCTGGCCCTCAGCCCCTCTCTTCTCTATATCCACAAATAAACTTTCGTCTGTGCACAGGAAAAAAGGTGAAGGGGAGTTCTCCATGATCACTGAATGCCACCCATACTCCAACCTCACCCACATAACATGATTTAAACATGAACTAATTTCCCCAAGTACACCCTGGACTTTCAAATAAGACTTGATGCTTTGGCTGGCATGCARGATGGCTCTAGAGACCCTGGCAGGAAAGCATCACAGGCATTTTAAAGAAAAGGTCACAGCCARYAARTGGAAAMCAATACTTGGCATCTCRTTGTGCTTTCACCYAAAATCACACTGGAAAGGTCCCAARGAGCAGAAAGTGTGGTTCCTTTGGACCTGCCGGCTCTCCAGAGGGTTTCCATGCACATGTGGGCACTGCCATCTGTTTGCTCCGTGCCACAGAGCAGATTCGTTGCCATCAGTGCTGGCAATTCCTCATTGGATCAGCACTAATTCCCACAAAGACAGTCAGCTCTCTCCTTAGGGCAAGTGCGCTTTCCGGAATCATCTTCTTTCATCCATTTCAACATAAATCAGAAACGACAGAGTTCCTAGAGTTAAGAGGTGTCCATCCAGCACATGAGGACCTTGGCAAGCAGACGTACGACCTCGGGGTGGTCGGATGGCAAAATCCCAAAGCACTTTTAATGCTGGTAAATCTCTCTAACAAGCAGCTGAGCAAAGGGCAAGTTGTGTTGTGCCATTGAGTGATGCTGTCACTGTGGGTTAGCTTGGTTTTCAATAGGCTGCAGTTCTGTTCACACTCAGTCAATTTAAAAAATCAGCTCAGGTGCATTTTAAGGAAGGTTTCCTTAGCAGTGAGTAAACCCTGAGCTGCCACCCTCAAGGCACATCTTTCACACAACCCTTGGAAGAGCTTCCCAGCACATGGGAGAGCAACATGTTAATCCTTATAAATCAAATATTTGCCAAATGGAGTAGAAGCCATGTGTCTGAGCAAGATGCACTGAGAAATGGAACAAAGCAGGGAGTGTGTCAGAGATCACTGGGTCGTGTGCAAGCCTGTCCCTTGCAGAGTTATCCTTCAGAACAGCATTCCCTGAGCCCTGTGGTAGATGTTATTCTCCTGCAGCCTTTCTTTATTCCCCCTGCTTTTCACTGCTCAGAACTGACACTCTCTCTAACCCAGCTCCTCCTCACTGAGTTTATTGTTGCCCAAACTTTCATTAGAATCAGTTCTGAGCCAAGGCAGGGTTTGCCATGTCTGAGTCAGGGGCACTGGTAGAAGGGAAGCAGACTTACCTGTGTTCCCAGTACTGGGGCTGTGGAAGTGTGTCCCACAACTGCCAGATCTCAATTATTTTACCCTTTCACACATCTCAATGTCTCACAAGCTGCTGCTGGCCCTTGCTGCTGCGGGATCTCCGGGCCAGCTCTCCCAGAAGAAGATTCATCAGCATTCAGGAAGCAATTAACCCTGCATTGCCGTGCTCCGGTCATGGCACARCTTCCTGCTGCTCCTGAGTGAGCTGAAGCAGCAGTGCCTGGAAAAATCCACACAACTCTGGAGCAAGGCACAGAGCCACACCTGCCCTCCACACTCACCTTGCCTGCAGAGCTGGAGCCACTGACTGGTGGGCACGGTTCACTCCTGGGATGGCAAATGCCACTCTGCAGCCACACAGAGGAACGTGCTCGAGCTGTTTCCTCAAGTGTCCAGAGAGTTTCTCACTCTGTACACTGAGGGTCTGCACTGATRTGATTTTACAGCCAGACACCTGCACCTTTGGCACCGCCATGGTTTGTCTACTTCTCTTCATTTCCTCTCCCCTTCTTCTTTCAACTCTGTCACATCAGGGCTGACCAAACTTCCTGATGCTACAGGCTTCCCATCAATAGCCTGGTGGGTGATGGATTTGTCCTCCAGGGAGCTGAGGGGATGGGGCACAAGGTCACAGGCAGAGCRATACCTCCCCAAGGGGACAGAGTGACCAACGCAGGTCACAAGAGCCTGCCCGTCACATTTCCTGTGCCTCAGCCCCGTGGCCCTGCCAGCAGCAGTGACCTGCCCTCAGCACAGCTCTCACAGCTCAGCTGCAGTGAGCAGGGACAGGCAGGGGCTCTGCAGTGGGAGCTGTGTCCCTGCTGTCAGCTCTGCTCAAARCACTGGAGACCCCCACCCCCTGCTTTAGGGCAATCCTAAATTACATCGCTGGGGAGATGGAGCTGATAGCAAGGAAA